AAAAAAAAAAAAAACTACCAGAGTACTGCAACTTACAAACATACATATTTCTTTTTGAAAGTACAGGCTGGTTTATGTAAAGATTAAGGACTTTGCTCATCTTTATTGATGAACACTGAGCTTGCATGAATGTTTATCCTTTCCAGCCCACACTTCCCAATGCTTTATCCTATTGGTTTCTAGTGTTAAACTATTCTAGTTAAACTATTCTAGTAGTCAATTAGCCCAAGCCAAGGAAGGAAAAAACTTCCTAAATAACCATAACAAGGTGATTTCTCCCAGAGGTATTTTTATCTCAAAAGAATCTTCTAAGATGCTACATTCTTAGACAATAAGATCTGGCTCACAGGATTCTAAAAAAACCAGTCTGGAATACAGCAACTAGAGAGAGGCGAGTGGCATGGAAAAGATGGCTTTACTATCTACTAAAAACATGTAAAATCTGTTGGGAAAGAAGCCAAAGAGAAAGAAATACTAAACTAGGAGTCAGAAAACATACTTTTAATCACAGTTTAACCACTATCTCACTTGGCGATCTCATTTAACAAGATAAAAATCCAAATGCCTTAACTTCACATACACAATAACCTTCACAATCTGACTGCTACTTCCAACCATTTCCCTCACTACTTTAATCCATAAATCCTCGATTCCTGCCAGGCTGAATTTCTCACTCTTCCCTATATATCATGCCCTGTAACAATTTATCATCTTTGTATATGTTATTCCTTAGCTCTGGAATGAACTACTATCTGTCCCCTTCTCCACCTAGCAAACTCCTATTCATCCCTCAAAAGTCAACTTTTCCCTCTGAGCTCCTATAATCTAGTGTATTGTAATTTATCAGTATTATATACATAGACTGAGTTCCCTATAAGAATAAATGATCTTCAATAATTTTGTATCTCTAAAACCTTGTAGTGAGTGTCTAGCATAAAGTACAAATGCAAATGTTCAATGAAATAAATGATTAAATGATGAATTAATGAGCAACCTTAAGCAGTTTCTCCTATAAAATTAAGAGAATACTTGATACATGTGAGAAACAACATGGCCTATATAATAGGAAGAGCACACAAAGATTCTTTGTATCTTTTTAACTCTAAGCTCTTCAGCGAATTACTTAACCTCTGAGTCAGAGATCCCTCATCTACAAAACAGGTTTCATAGGGTTGTACATTAAACCAGTTTTGGCAGGGGAGAACCCCACAAAAACATGTATAGCACAATGCCTGGAACAAACCGGTACTCAAATACATATTAATTCCCTTTTTTTTTTTCCCTTTAACTCACAGGATAATTATGAACACCCAGTGAGATAACTGATTTGAAAATCATAACAGCACATAAATTAAATCTCTCAAGTAAGGGAGAAAAAAATCAAAATGGTTCATCCTTGCATTTATACACCTTTCCTTCTTTTTAGATTTGTAAGAAACACTTGGAGACATTGCTGATTTTTAAAAATTTCCCCAAATTACACAATTACCTAGGATTCTAAAACTAAAACTTAAGTTTAGTGTAAACAATTCTAATTCACTTAGTTCAGTGTAAACAATCCTAATACCTCTAAAATTAAGAAAAAGTCTACACACCCAGCTTTAAACTAGTGTCCTTTTCCCTTGCCTGTTTTAGGTCTTTCTAGAATTGTTCTTTCTTAGAATATGGAATGACTTTAATTGAATTTGTAACAATGACTTCAACTGAGTTTTGTACATTATTTCATGGATTCAAGCATTTGTGGTCTAGAAAGTAACACATCTCACTGAATTGTTATATCAAAATGGTCTGAGTTTTTTAAAGGATAAACCAAATTTAATAGCATCAGCATTTCGAGGTAAGTCTTATTTTTCTGAAACCAGAAACTTTCTGCACAAAATAAATTCAAACACCTTTCTCTACCCACAGATCCTGATTTGACATTCTATAAAGAACACAACATAAGTGTTTATCATGCATGTCAAGGTTAACTTGAGGTCAAAAAAATGTTCTCTAATTACTTACTTTACTAAAATAAGTCTGCTCTGAGAATAAAAGTTCTTTTTAAACACCTTTTCATTAATCAGAGATATTTATAATTATAAACTTTGATTTTAAAAAGTCTAAAATTATAAATGTAGACACTGTTCTAGGTAAATTATCTAAAAATAAATGTAATTCTAGGTGTGATTTAGGATTTACAAAATTGAACTAAACTTATGTGCATGGTAACGTCTTAATTTATCTGATATAGTAGCAACTTGACCTAGGACAATAAAAAAAACTTTAATTTCCTTTTTGTATTTAGATATTTGCTAGACTTAAAATATTAAATGTCAATAACTTTCATTTCTGCTACTGTATTATTTCAAGAAAGCTTTTTTTCATTTTCCACACTAGTCAAATAAAAAGTTGCAAACAGCAGAAAAATTATCTAAAAGATCTTTTTTTAAAGCAACTTTCTTTTGTTTATATTAAATATATTTTTAAAGCATAAAATGACAAAGTTCTTATCTTCCCCAAAATGTACTTTTTAGAAGCACTCTTCAAATTTTGTTTATGAAAGCATTATAGCACACAAAACACTAGTGAATTCATTATCTTAAGCACAGCTTTCTAACTGAATCAATATTTCATAATTTTTCAAGTTGTGGCTAATCAGTACTAGGATGCAGTGTAGTGCAGCAATTTCTAAGGAGACAGACAAGGGTTCTGTGCCTAAAGAAAATTTCAGCATATAGTTTACTCACATACAGAACATGCTGACTGATACTAACCAAAAAAAGTCAACTTTTTTTTTTTTGAACCAGCCCATAATTCACCACCTTGGTATGGCATTCTCTCTAAATTATCATTTCCAAATGGGATTATTCGATTTTATTAGCTAATGGTTCTCATTACTTTAAACACAGAAACAGGATATGTTCTGTCTCACCAAGTGTTACACATTTATTTCTTACTACAAGTCTTGGGTGGGGGGTAAGCTTTGGAAACAAAAGGTAATCTGATCCATTCCAGGTAATTACTGGATGCCAACAATACACAATTCGAATTGCATTTCTGGACGCTAAAAAGATTACAAAAGGGAGTAGAACGTCAAATGTGCAAAGAACTACTTTTGTATCAAAAATATATCAAAATGGTATACTGAAACTAAAATCTCGTTCGATGTACCAAATTCATCTGATTAAAGATTTAATAATCTTCTGAAAAGAAAATGTTTAATCAACGTTGTTAAAATAACAGTAATTCATTCCATTCAAGTACGACTAGAAGTACCGATGATATTGTTTTTCAGGTCTAAATATCTCATTCTTTTGCAATCCGGATACTAAAAGGACCTGAAACCTATAGTGGAGGCGTTGCAACAACTCAGCGAATGTTGTCTGTTTACAAATACGAATCTCAGAGTTTCCCACGTCAAAAGCATTCATTACCACCATTCGACTGGAGGGCGGGGTGAAGGCGGGCGAACAAGAAACGAAATCCACAGACACATCTGCCTTCCCCCGACAAGGGCGAGCCCAGAGAAAATATTTATGCTGTATTACATGCATGTGTATACTTACGTTACATATGTACGTTTCTATCTAAGCAGGGATGAAAGAAAGGCACACATGACAGGGAATCCTACTGGACCCAAGAGAATGCTCACGCCAATTCCGTTAACTCAAAATCCTCCTCCCAAGTCTACAGGTTTCGGCCCGGGACCGAGAGCCTCAGCCTCTCAGTGGAGTTCAGCCCCAAAGCGCCCCAATGCCCTCCTCAGGCCGCCCAGGCCGCCGCCCCTACCTCCCTTTATCTCTGCCTTCCCCTGGGACATTGAAGCCCATTCCAGCAAAGAAAGAAGTGTCAGGCCCCAAGGGGGCAGCTGAGACGCGCTCCGGCCCGGCCCTCGACACCTGCGAGGCGCGGCACCTGAGGCGAACAGGGGGCCGCCCGGCCTTTTCCGAGCACACCCCCTAGGCGGCCAGTGCTCCGCCGCCGCCGGAACCTCTATACCTGCGAGGCCTGCTAGCTACAGGCGCGCGCGGCGCCTCCTCATCTCAATGGCTCCGGCTCCCCCTCCGCCTCCCGCTGCCGCCGCCGCCGCCGCCGCCGTCGCCGTCGCCGTCGCCGCCGCTGGAGGCCGGGAGACGACGAGCTCAGGATTCCACCGCCATGTCCGCCGCGCCGCGAACTGCATTGTGGGGGGGAAGGGGAGGGGAGATGGAGGGGAGGGGGAGGGGAGAAGGAGGAGAGAGTGGGAGAGAAACAGGAGGACCCGCTGAAGGGAGGGAGCCGAAGAAGATGGAGAGCTGGGGGAGCAGGGGTGGGGAGAGTCGGGTGAAGTCCTGAATGGAGTCCTGCCCGGAGGTGGGACGCGAGGGAGACCCCAGAGAGGAGACGCAGGGGGAAGGGCTCAGGGGTGCCCCTCCCTTGGTTCTGAAGGCCCCTGGAAACCAGCTAAACCACGGCGGGGGTAGTAAACACCAATGGGGGAGGGGCTGCGTTCGGGGGCTTGTAGTGGCTGCGGGAAACAATGGGGAGGAGAACGAGGCAATAGGGCTGCGCCTTCACACTCAGTGAGGGAAGGGGCGGGAGCGGGAGGACACTAGTTAGCCCGCGAGGAGGGGGCGGGACACTCTAACGTTGGGGGAGGGTCGAAGTCACCAGTGGCTCTTGAGGAGGGGCGGGGCCACTGAGCGCGGGTCTGGAGGTCCGGCTCTGCTCCGGGGCCCCACTGGGGAGCGGCGCGAGGACTCCCGCATGCCTGAGGAGTTCGGGCGTTACCGCGTGGCTCAGGTCTGGTTCCTGGACTGCGGGCCGCCCTGCCGAGGCCACCCAAGCAGGACGAGGGGCCCCGAAAGCCACCTCGCTCTAAAAGCGGTCCCCGGGAGAAGAAAGCCCGGCCTTGGACGTGCACCTTCTGGCCTGGCTCACCGACTGAGCCAGACCCCAGCTTCTGCGGACCCTCGGCGGCTAGCACGGACTTCTGAGCACCAGCAGGGAGCGAGAGGAAGACCCCGGGGTCGACCCTCGCCTGTTTATCTTTGCAACAAGCCCTCCAAAACTAAAATGCATTTCTTTTTAAAAAGCAGCCAATTCAGGAGTTAAGGAGCTCGGCAGAGAAATTTCAAGAGCATCCCCCCCCCCAAAAAAAAATTTAGAAATCATTTTCTTCAGTTTCACGTGGGTTGGAATCAACTACCGTCCTTAGGCCCTCTCCTCCCCCCGTGCTTTTAATGTGTCAAGTCCCTCCACACAGTCATTTAAAGTCAGGGAACTTAGATTTGGTTAGGTTTTTTTTTTAAGACACCCCCTCTCCCAGTCTTGGAGATTATTCAACCAATGTCTGACCTCAAAGCTGGACAGACAATTCACACAACTACAATCCTTGCATTTGACACATACTAGGCAGGAAAAGGATATGACAAATAGTGCTGAGGGCATGCTAAATCTTAAGTGTTTACAGTATACTGCCTTATAAATTTTCTTATAATATGACTCAGAGACTAGAACCTGCAAGAGGTTACAGTAGGACATTACTCTGCATAGTCCATGTACTTCCCACTACACCCCAGAACTGCATACCTCATTTATCTGTTTATGTCCCTATGAATCGGAAGCTCGGTGAGAAGAGACCAAGCATTACCCACTAAGTGCTAGGCATTTTAGTAGGAACTTCACATATTTCACCATTTACTCCTCATCACAACCTCATGAAGTCGAGACTATTGTGCCCATTTACAAATGAGAAAACTAAAGTTCGGAGCATACATAAGTGCATTTTACCCATACTTATCTGATGCCACAACGCCCAAGTATAGTACATTTCCAGTCAAAAGAGCCTTACCTGGCTTCAGCACTTATCAGCTGGGTGACTTTGGGCAAATACACCCTCTAAATGTCCTCATCTGTAAGATTTTAAAGTAAAAAAACCTACTTCACAAGGATAATGTAAGGAAAACAGCAGGACACAAAAGTTGAAGCCGATAGAGACATTAAGATGATACCAACATGTGCTTCACTTTAGTGAGTGCTATCAGTGTCCTTGGAGGAAATTCAATTGAATCAAATTCCCTGACTACTTAATAAGAGCAAAGCATTAAATTAGGTACCTAGGAATATACAAAGACAAATGAGGTTCCTATCACCAAAAAGTTCCATTGAGCAAGAAAGGTGGTTCTATTAAGCTACAACAAAAAGCAATAGGTCATAAGAGCAAAGGCTGGGCTAATACATAGCAGAGCATGATGAAGTCCACTTGGGTGAGACTTTAATGGAAGAGGTAGAAACTGGACCTTGGAGGCTCACCTGCTATGTGCCAGCCACATGTATGTGATTCAGAGAACATAATTTAGTCTGTAGTGTACAGGAGATAATGTGCCTGGAAATAAAAGCCGGGGCCAGATTGAGAATCCCAGTGCCTCTCTTTGCTTGTATCTTCCAGAAAACTCTCTTCTACCACCTTTCTTATTCCTCAAGACCCAGCTCAACTCCCACCTCCTTTATTAAATCTACCTGATCACCCTCCTCCACTGAATGTGATACCTCCATTCTCTGAATCCCTACATGTTACTTTTATAAGTCTGGCCCCAATACATTATAAATTAAACATAAATACTTATATTTGTATTTCTTATAATGCCTACATACTTGTTGAGTTAAAAATTTTAGCAACTATAATCTTGTTTAATTTCACAAAAAAGTGGGTATAGAGCAAGTATTATTTCTATGTAAAGAATGAGGAAACTTGGGTCTCAAGAGGCTTAATTAGTGGCCAGGATCATACAGTAAGTCACAGGTAGGACTAGAATACCAGTCCTGTGTGATTCAATTCTTTTCATTGAATCACAAACAGCTTACTGAGAAATAAAATGGTGAATGTCTCACTGCTTTGTAAAAATACACTGAGAACTTAATGTCTGATGCTTGCAAGAAAGACCTCATGATTGTAGTTAAGTCTCCAAATTTAACCTTTCAGCCCAGAAGTTTTGAGAACTCAATTTCCTCCAAACTCAGGTAAAAATTGAAACAAAAATCTTTTTTATTTGTTTCAAAAAATTTTATCATATATAATGAGAAATATAATTTCCCATTGGATCAATAATAATATGCTATTCTCTTCACAGGTGATAGAAAAACCTAGCCCAAAAATAATCATATTGGATAAAAAGGTGATTTGGTGAGTAAATTAAATCAGAACAAGAAAAGTACCTCAGAGATAAGTCTGCTCAAACCAAGTAGTTCTGGTAGATCATAAGGGGAACAAATCATAAAAGTATACCATTGAAAAAAAACACAGGTTTTTATCCTGTAGTTAATGTGGAGTTGCTGAACATTTGTAAGCAAGAGAGAGAGAGATGATCAGATCTGCTAAAGGTTTTCTTCGAGCCTCCTTTTTTCCCCAATATATCTGATTTCTTCAAGGAGAAATGATTGGCAAACTTTTATAGACCCTGGCTGATGATGAGCTCCAGTTAAAAAGAGTGCATCCACCCCCATGATGTGGTCCTAACCATGTCTTCTTCACCTTTGTATTCCCAGTACCCAGCACAATCCTGACACATAGGAAGTACCTAAAATTGCTTGTTGACACTCTATATTGTCTATAAAGCAGAAACTATGTTCAAAGCTTAAAATTTTTTTGATTCTTACAAATTATATACCATACCAAGGCTCCTAAGGTATGTGCTCATCTCAAAGGTAATGTAAAGGATCTATTTCTCTTTGTCTTTTTGCATTTTTAAAATTAAATAAGCTAAAATATGGTAAATGCCTCTTACATAGTAAATATTCAACAAAAATTAATTCCCTTTATCCTTAAAATTGAGTTTCTTCTCGTCTGCTCCAGTTTGGATTTCATGTGCCCTTAGACTCACATTAGCAGCACATGTGTGTACTTGTTACCCATTAATTCTATTTAATTTGTTCTGAGGATTCTATGTGTGGAATTTTAAACTACAGCCACACCCTTTAGCTTCTTTCCTTGAAACATTAGAAACAGTCTGTTTTTTAAGATGGGTTTTTTGTTCATCTGTTTTTAGTGTGAATAAAATCTGAGAGTTAGAAAAGAGATTAGAGTTCACACAGTTGGATATATCAAGAATATACATGGCAGGAAATGATGTTTTAAAGGTAGCATAGCACCACATCATAAGGGCCACATATGCCATTTTAAAGAGCTGGCTTTTATCCTGAAGTTAAGGGGCAGTTACAGAACAATTGCAAGTAAGGCAGAGCAGTGATCAGACCTGCCTTCTACAGCAAAACTTACAGATGGTCATCCAACTTCTATTTGAATATTTTTACTTATAAAGAGCTGATTCCTTTCCAGATCTATCTATTCTAGGTGTTAGAAGTCCTTCCTTCTCTGAGCTGAAATCTTCCATCTATATGTCTTTCTGACCTCAAGAGTAGCACCAAGACTCTTTTTCTTCATATTTTCTTCATAAAAAATAAGGATGTGAAGTAGATGAACCATGGCAGGAAACAGGTGTAAAGGTCTATCATTCTGACATGAACTCATTTTAAGTCAGCTATTTTACCTCCCTCTAAACCAAATTTTCTCTCCCTTTTTTCTCTAAAACAAAAATGAGATCCAACTCCATTCTAACAGTTTCCCTATGACCAATTCCAGTGTTAGGACAGTCTGTACTCTGATTCATCTTTGTGTCCTATAAAATGTCATGTACTCTGTCCAAAAATAAATCCTTGCATATATGGTTAAATGATTTTCAACAAAAGTGCTAAGGCCATTCAATGGGAAAAACACAGTCTTTTCAACAAATGGTACTGGGAAAACTGGATACCAACATGCAAAAGAATGAAGTTGGACCCTTACCTTACAACAGACACAAAAATTAACTCAAAATGGATTTGTGACCTAACTGTAAGACCTAAAATAATAAAATTCTTAGAAGAAAATGTTTCACAACATTGTATTTTGAATGATTTCTTGGATATGATACCAAAGGCACAGGCAACAAAAGATATAGACAAATTGGATTTCATGAAAATTAAATTTTTGTGCATTAAAAAACAGTATTGTCATAGTGATAAGGCAGGCAACCCACAAAATGGAAGAAAATATTTGCAATTCATATATCTAAAAAGGGATTAATATTCAGAATATAGAGAGAACTAAAACACAATAACAACAACAAACAAAAACCAACCAGATTAA